ATTGTATATTAAAGAACTACATAAATATATATAAGTAATACGTTAGTTGAAAATAATAAAAATATGAAATATATTTTATTATAACCGTATTTTAGTCGTACTCATGTCCTACTTTTTTAGATTTTATCGTATCGCCGGACTTGTATCGTATCGTATCCGTATCTCATATCTGTATCCGTGTTTCATAAGGTCTTGTCTAAAGAGTACAAAAAAGGATCATTTTTAACAAAATGAATGATTAAAGAAATAAAATAATAATTTTTTTAAATTTGTGGGGAGTGAAAGCTTAAAATTTTAAGAAAAATTAGAGGCTTGTAATTACACTACCGATAATATTTAACTCGAAAAAATGAAAGAAAAATTTAAGGAATAGGTTTAGAGTTTATATAATATAAAAGATGGATGAGAGAGAAGAAAGATGAGATAAGTCTTTCGACTTTAAATAAGATAAAAAATTACCGTTAAAATTTTGATATATAATTAAGTTTCATTCAATTTGAGTTCAGAATAATTTTTTTGTCAATTTAGTATAAATTTGAGTCTAAAATTAGAAAAAAAAAATTTTAACTATTTAAACTCAAATTTAGACTTGAGTCTAAATTTGGATAAAAGTTAAAAATACTCTACCAGATCCACATTTCTGAATCTGTATGGAGAAGTTTCTGTGTCAAAAAAAAAAACTCGTTCGGTACAAATTTTGGTGACCGAAATTTCTTGTTCATTCTATATTAAAAAAATATATATTGCCAGCTAATCCATATTTTTCATCTTCATTGATGTCGATCAGATTTGGCTAGATCTTCCCCAGTCAACAAATCTTTTGTTCCTTCAGTCCTTTCCGACTCAAGAAACCCAAATCGTCACCATTTTTGCTTGGACTCAAGATCCAAAGCTTGTTAGGAAACCAAGCCACTGTTTGGACACACCAAACCATTCAAGTGTGTTTTGGGGTGATGGGTTTTACAGAAGAAAGATGGCTCTGAAAAGAGCCAGGAAAAAGAAAGAAGATAAATGGAGCGGATACTGGAAGAGAGAAGTGGGAGAAAAAGATGGAAGTAGTTTATAGAAAAGTAATTTAAAAAAGGGTTAATCACAAATTAAACTTCGAAAGATCGTTGGAATCTCAATTTTTATTCCTAAAGATTAAAAATTTTAATTTACACTCTCAAATATAGAAATTTGTATCAATGTGTACCCCTAAAAATCAAAAATCTCAATTTGCACCCTCAAAGATATAAATTTGTATCAATGTGCACTCCAAAAAATCAAAAATCTCAATTTACATCCTCAAAATAAAAAATTATATTAATTTACACCTAAAATTAACTGTCGTCAATTTACTGCCTGAAACTAAATTGATAAATTATACCTAAATTCCTTCATGCTTAACACTTAATCATTTGAACTCCTTCACAAAATAAAAAGTAATATAAAATTATAATTTTTTCTTACGATAAAATCATATTTTTTAATGGTTATAAAATCCTAATAAAAATGCTTTCAATCTAAAATGTCCCCCCAATTGAGCATTCAAATAATTATGTTTAAGTGATATATTGTATTGGATATAAAAAATATTATATAAATACCTATATTCTATTGGACATTCAAATAGTAAGTTTGATTTTGAACTTTAGAGTATATCGTACCTACGAAATAAAAGGGTAATATAAAATTATAATTTTTTATTAGGATAAAATCATATTTTTTAATGGTTATATTAACAAATATCAACAAAAAACGGTTACGTATTGTATGTGCACAAACATCATAAGATGTAGGAATAATATTCTAAATGTTAAGAGATCCAAATAATTAATTGATAAGTGTGAGTGAATCTAGGTATAATTTATCAATTTAATTTCAAACAGTAAATTGATGGCGGTTAGTTTTAGGTGCACATTGATATAAATTTATATCTTTTATGGTGCAAATTAAGAGTTTTGATCTTTGGGGTTACACATTGATATAAATTTCTATCTTTGAGAGTATAAATTGAGATTTTTTTTATCTTTAGGGGTGTAAACGATCTTTCGGAGTTTAATATACAATTAATCCTTCAAAAAAAAAAAGGACTAAAAGAAGCGGAAAGAGAGAGAGAAAAGTGGATGGTGAAAGTCTTTCATATTTACAACAACCTTCCCATTTATTGTCTTTTTATATTTTGTGTCTCTCGTGTTTGTATGACGATGTTCCTTCCATACACAATTTTAGTGCACAACATCCCCATTTGATATTCGGGGGAGCAATTTCAAGATGGTCACAAACACAGCCAATTTCCACGAACTGTTGCAGCACCCGCAAATTGAATTGCCGCAATTTTTGTCATTTCCAAAAAAGCAAGACAATCGCAACATTTAGGGAATCGACCTTGAGAGCATGTTTTCCATTAGCTATTGGATTCACAATTTGGTGGGCTGCATTGCCTGAGTTTGTAATTGATTGGTTGCCTGAATGCTGCCTAGATCCAAAATGGATCAAGCTATGGAATAGGTAATAGAACTATCTACCATATTAAAACAAGGTGTTCCCAATGAGAATGGTACTATAGAGGGCATTCCCATGACTGACCTGGTTAACTCGGAATCAAAAGAATTCATTGAAAGAACTTGCCCACCAGTCTACTTTGCCAAGAGGTGGCAGGAGCGCAACGACCTAGCCCAAACCTACTTAAACAACCTAAAGGCTTGGCCCGAGAAATTCTTTCCCATTTTCCTTGCCTGAGAGCTCTATAATGTAAGATAAGGTAGCCATCTAGCTTTCATGGTTGCTCCTAAGGGTTATAATAAGATAGATTGCCTTAGAAGGAGGAATTTCTTCTGATTGTCTTGCTTGAAGGTAATCTCATATAAGGTCAGGGCAAAGTATACCTAGGAAATCAAGATTGGGATCCCATTGATCCAGCGGAAGCAATGGCTAGGGCATGGACGATAACAGATCCTTTTCTATAGCCGGGCCCGAAGGTTTCTCGTAGCCGCAGAAGCTACGACATGGGCATAGCTAGGTGTTGGCTTTTCCATTACGGAATAATGCCTGCAGTACGAGTACCTATGCAACAAGTCAGAAAGATATTGATACAATGAGTACACATATTGACCCATAAAAAATATATACCAGCTCAGCTGCCTCATCCATTTTTGCTCATAAGTAAACTCTTCTCCGTATGGGCTTTTAACTGGTACTTACACAAAGTTTCTAGAACAGTCTCTACGTGTTTCAGATGCTCCTCCCAGGTCTTATTATAAACCGGATGTCATTGTCGTAGACCGTGACGAATTCATTCAATCTAAATAAGACCTAAGAACTTTGCTCATCAGCTGCATAAAGGTTGTTGCTTCACTCACCCGTGAGTTACGAAAACTTCCTTAATTTTTTTGTAGTTCGCAGAAAAGCTGTAGGACACTCACAGCACCAACCAATTAAACTATCATAATTTTTGTCAGTTTCAAAAGAGCCGCATTCTGTGCAAATCAATTCATTGTTCAATTCAAGTTGAACACTTATTTCACATGTATGTGTACCAATTTGAGGGTAGTGTTGCACAGGATCAAATCAAGCTGCCAGACTTGAAAACAAACAGTCGTAGGAGCTGAAAGGTAGCCATCAGCATTGATGGCAAGAAAGACTTTTGTACCATTCCCATCTTTAAATATGGGTGCACTCTTATTGTATCAGCCATCAGCATTGATGGCAAGAAAGACTTTTGTACCATTCCCACCTTTAAATATGGGTGCACTCTTATTGTATCAAACACACAAATCTCCCATTTAATCTATTTATCAATAAAGTGGAAGTCCAGAATATTGTGTCTTGGATGCTGATCTGAATAGATTGAATCAGTAAATTTTTGTGTATTATATCTTTCCTTATTTTTTATCTCTAATCTCTTCCTATCCAAAATTTAACACAAATATTGTAAATACCTGTACTTAAAAGCCTTCAAAAGTACATGCTTATAATTATCGATAAAAAAGATGGCCAGACTGTGTTCTAATTTTCACCAACTTGAAAACAAGTTCATTAGTGCAGTTGAAGCCCAATAAGGTTGTAAGAGTGTATTTTAGGTGCTTTAGCCGTTAGAAAGCCTGTTCGATTCTTTAGCCTATTTTCGGTAACCTTCCTCTCTTTTAGCAGGAATTTCTACTGATCAGTTATCCATTTTAAAAGTTTGGAGTCCGGTTGGGTATTGAAATATCATTATTTAACTATGTACCCCTACTTTTCATCCAATAAAATTTTTAACATTTTATTAATCAATAATGATTACAAATTATCTAACTAAAAATCAATGGTCAAGATGAATTGCTATACAGTTTAACCTAAAGTTTGTGGTGCTTTTGTTTTTGTTTATCAGTGGGAGTGTGCGTTTGGGTAAAATGTTATCAGGCGTATGCTTGTCAGGGTATGAAAGTGTGTTATTATTCTAAGATTGGTTATCAATTGTCTACGGCTTTCACCCAATCCATTTTAACCGAATGCGTTACTTATAAAGCGGGCAAAAATAAAATGGGATTGCATAACAACCACCTCGTTTTAATCCGCCAAACCCGCCACATGCCACTGCTATACTACCAGATTAGATTCCCGCAGTTAATGGTCTCCACTTTGTCAGTGCGCCGTCTTTAAAACATTGTGTCTCAAGAGTATAGGTTCATTTCGCACATCAAAATTGCTCTCGAGGCAACATGCATTTAGACATATTTGGTATCAAATAGCTTTCAACAAATCGAAAACTTAAACTTCATCAAGATGTGCAAAGATTAAGTTACATTCAGCAGGTTACTGTGTCACTAACGACCTGTACTATTCTGTGAGTGTTACAACAAAATGTTATCCCAAAGCTTCTGACTAGGGGGATTCTTCTATACCTTTTCATTTTTCTTCTCTGCCTACCCTTCAAGAATTAAAATATAACGTTTATTTTTTTCAGTAATAGCAACCAGGACCTTGAAGATGATATAAAGCTAGGAAAACCCATAATGAATTCAATACATTAGCCCTCAATCTCCTGAGACATATTGCTTCTCAGCATAATATTTCTTCTCGCTAGCTTCCTTCTTGGTATTGCGTATCTGCAAAAGCAGTTGCACATTAGTTCTACTACATACCAAGTCCAAATGACAAGTATAATTTGAATAGGCAGTCCACCATGTGATGGCCAAAACAACAGAAAATCAAACATAAAATGTTGTCCAACATATATCACACACGTGCCACTGAGGACAGGATATTTTTTTATCTTGACTTTTAAGTGAACCATTCAAGAAAATTGATAAACAGTTGCAAAAACATGAGAATTTATCAGAAAAAAGAAAGAAAGATGTGATTAAACCCACCCCCCCCCCAAAAAAAAAAAAAAAACACCCACCTGGGGTACTTGAAGGTACAATAGTAGCTTTAGATGACAATAATAATAAGCACCAGCAAATTTTGAAAGTATGATGAGATCTTAAATACACTATTCTGAATTTGCATCTAGAGTTGGCCCATAACCATACATGGATGCAACCTGAAAAGATGTATATAAAATCATCTTGATGCTTAATGTTTCTGCATGCACTCATAAAAAATGTTAATCAATCTACAGACACAGGATGTAGATAGAAGTTACATAACATTCAGACCACTTATTCAGTCAATCTTCGGATTTGTTAATTTGTGAAAAACCACTCATCCAGCAAGGCAGAAACCTGGGAAAACATGCTTATAAAGCGGGGGGATTATGAACGATACCATGTAAATCTGATGATTGGTGATTATCCTTTGGGCTACCAAAGTGGTAGTAATATCTTTTGGGCTCTCAAGCATTTGGAAAATTCCCATGGTCTTAGGAACTGCATAGGGATCAGTCTCACTCTGCATTACACAAGTTTTCAAGAAAAAAAAATGATCCTAGATGTGAGATGGCAGCTAGAAATGATTACAGATTACATCCAAAACTTGAAGTACATTACATTCACCAAAGAGTTGCTCTCAGAAACTGTCCCACGCACAACCAAAGAGATGTTGAAAGTTGTAATCTGTTTCATGTGAATATATACATATATATCAATTCAAAGAAATAAAAGAAATCAGAAGTAATAATTGTAAGTGAATGCGGATGACAAAAACAACATGTGTTAGCATCAAGATACTGCGATAAAGAAATACAATGTTTTCAGAAATGCAAAACAACACACCTGCACAAGAAAATAATGCATCGAAAGTGTGGGGCTGGAGAAGGGGGCTGGGGAGGGAAAGAGAACAAGAGGGGAAAAATATTAATACCATGTCTGTTAATCAATTTAAATAAGGAACCACCAACATCCAAAGAGATAACTGGTGGGGAAACTCTTAGGTTCATCATATAGCTGTTTAAGAAGGGCATTCTTTTTTGGCAAACCAGAGTCACCCAGAAGATGCCCTTACCCTTCATGTTCCAAAATACCAAGTTTGATGTTATTGTAGGCCTCTTCCTATTTCTTACCTCAGTTCAGAAGTTCAAAAGAAGAAAGATGAAAATAGGGAAATCAGAGTTGGTTGCAATTTAATAACTCATAAACATAGAAGTTTTTAGGAAAAGATATTAGAGAGAAACCCACAAAATATAACACCAAACTTGCTTAGGATATATTTACTTAGTTCATTTAAAAAATGGGCAACCTAGTGGATGAGACTGCTGCCACTTCAGAGTCAAGATTCACATGTACGCAGCGTCACCCATGCATGCGAAGAGGCTGTTTTCAAGGCTCAAACCCTTAACTTCTAGATCTCAATGAAGCAACCTTATTCCTGTGCTAAACCCCACCCTCTATATGCAGCTCTATCCTTTATCAAATTAATTCCAATACAGCAATATCAAACAGAAAATAAAGAATTGGTGCATTCGAACAGTTCAAAATTCACATCATTATGTATAGGATATATGGATATACTATGAAGCACGGATATTTCTTCAAGATCAACGTATCCGTATCAGATACCGTATCGGATACGTTACTCGTCGGATACTTGAGTATACGTGACACACCAAACGTATCCAAAAATAAATAAATATATAGATACTTCGCGGATATTTCTATATGCATAGAAGTATGTATAATTTTTAATTTTAATCTTTACCCCTTCCTTTCACTTTTCACATACAATACAATACATCAACAATAATACATATGACTTTGAAGACACATGGATGTTTTCTAAATATTATTCACTACCACATGTCCAAAAAATATAAATGAGTTGATTATACTATAATCTTAGCAACAAATATTTGTAAGCAAACAATCTAGTTAAATGTTGGTTCTTATTTATTTAATTAATAATGTTCACTTTGTAGATGTACTATAATGAGATAATATAAGGCTTTTTGAAAATAAAAAATTATTAATGTTGTTTATTATTTTGTTAAAAAATACTTAAAAATTATAGCCATCAAGTCATTACATAATAGTACAAATATAAGATATATGTTTTAGTAGATGTATCCTAGTCATATCCATATCCTATTTTTTAGGGTTTTGTTGTATTGCCATATCTGTATCGTATCGTATCGTATCTGTATCTCGTATCTTGTATCCGTATCCGTATCCATATCTGTGCTTCCTAGTGTATATATGAACCTAGTACTATTAATATAGGGGAGGGTTTAGTGTTCACTCCAACGAGTCCCACTAATATTTAAGATACGGTATGGTATTCACAGTTCAAATGTTTAACACAAATTCCCATAGCACATGCACAAAACTCACATTCCTATTTAACTCAACTTCCACCACATCACTATCAATTATTAACTGTCTATACATCACAGGTGCCATGGAAACTAGCATTTTACTTATTTTTAAACAAATCACTCTCTTCCCCAACCCATTCAAACTATGTGTTTAATATAGTCCTAACCCTCACACAAACTTTTGGGCATGTGGCATACTGGATTCTTGCTCTGTCTAGGAAACAATTTTGCAAACAAAGTTGTTTGATATAAAAAGCATATATGTCAGTGTTGAAGTACATATTTTTAATAAAGAAAACCAAACACGAGTCTCTATTTAGAAGAATCATAGGTGCCACAATTATATCAGTATGCAGAGTTTGATCAGTTCCAAAGGCATTACTTCACTTTACCTAAAAATGGAAAATGTTTCTCTAATAACCTTTGCTTCTTCCATTGCTACAACTATAACAGGAGCTTCCAATTATCAATAGGGAAAGGCCACCTCCAAACTAAAAGACAAGTACAGCCCCAGAACCACAATCCAGCCCCAAATTGCCTTGGCTATTTACGCTTTCCCATTAATTGTAATGTCAGCATTCAGATAATTGTAGCCTCATCAAAATATCTTAGTGTTATGAACTTATTCATTTTGTTTTGGGAGAATCACTTGGTGTCGGGCCTCCATGTGAGGTCAGGTCAGGTCAGGTGATGGTCAACAACTTAGGCAGGAAATGATGAGAAGCGGCTAACAATGCAAGAGCTAGGTGAAAATGGAAAACCATGTCATTGTTAATTTTACAGGCTATGCAACATGATCAGTTTGGTCCTTAATGACGAAACATTTAGCTACAGCATCCTTGTGTTCTTTGAGATCTGGCCAAAAGAAGGCATCACCAACGGGAAACAACAACCGATCTGTTCTCCATCAAAAAGGATGATAGGAAGATTCAGGCAAGAAAAGGATTAGAAGATATGGAAAAATAGTTGATGAGTAATACACTCGTTTTAAGTGCTCTATGCAGTCCATGGAGTCTCTATCAGGTTTCAATTAAAAGTGGGAAGCCAGGCCAAACAACCACTATTGGCAAGGAGGTTCACATACGTCTTTTGTGTCCAGCACCTCAAAGCATCCCTCAAAACTTCCTATCATGAAATATATGATTGTGTATAAGCTACAGCCGACCTGGGCAGTGGATAGTGTAGTAGCGCAGTTAAGTACAAAACTGAGATAGTTGCTATGGATTATCCATACTTCCATGCTAACAAATAAGACAGACAAAGTAAACTTTTTTCTTTTTTTCTTTTCTTGATAAGCCAAAGCACTTGATGCAGACACAAATAGGAAAAATGGATGCCATCCAAAACTTGTCTAGTTCAAAAAGATGGACCTATTTTGTATTGATGTAAAAGATTATACACACCATGTCTTTTGTAACTTCCCACGGTGCACCAATGATGACCTCATCAACGTAACGGCAGGCCAAAACACCAAGACTACGTTCATGCAGATGCATAAGTGGAAAGCGAGCCCCGCGTTGTTCACTGTATGCGAAGGTAAATTATTATTTCTCCTCATTCCTTCCTATTATTCAAAAGTGCATGAAAGACAAAAATGATGATGCCGCTTCTTAATTGTTATTACCCTTATTATGGCTGGTTAGAATCAAATTACCATGATAACAAAACTATACCATCACCCAGAATAATAAGAGAAGTAACAATACCATCATTATCTATAACATGCTGGGGAAAGTGTTGAACTAACCACAAAGAACGGGAAGCTCTGACATGATTATGGATGACAATACCTGACAGTCTGATCAGCATAAATTCCAACAAGCAGAAAATCTCCAAGTTGCCGTGCACTTTTGAGGATCTGACATGTACAAAAACAGTCACTTCTTGACATACTTCATAAATCATAGGGAGAAAAGAATAAGTTTCCTTGATACAATCTAAGTTACAAGAAAATGCTGACAGGACAAGGGACAAGACTGCCAAGAAAATAATTTATCAAAACAAGAAAAAGAAAACGATTACAAGAAAACAAGGTCATGTGTCAAATGATGAATAGGGCTGAATACAAATCCATGCCTTCTTTGGCAACTCTGTTATTGAGAGTCCCAATATGATAAACTCAGAAAACCAAAAAAAACACACATGAATTCCAGCACTGCTATTTCTAATGGTTAATAATTCACTTCAATGCATTTATAGAGACTGGATTCGAGGACAAAATTTGAACACCCAGAACTTCAGAAATAAATCGATACATGCAAGTGTTTGCAGGTGTGATATTGTTGGGGGGATACCCACTCTTTCAAACATCCATCTGAAAGCCCAGCCCTAAACACTCATCTCAATCAAGGCTTCAGGCTATATTGTGCTCATAGATATAGAACAGTGTAAAAGCACAAAAATAAGCACCCAATTTAGTAGGTCCCTATTGATGGGGTCTAAGAAGTGCTGACACGGACACGACACAACACGACACGGACATGTCAATTTTCAAAAAAGTAAGATACGGACACGGACACGGACACGTTGAATAATAAATTTTATTTTATTTTTTAATATGACTATAATAAAACCTAACATTTTTTCCAATCAAATTAGGTATTAAATCATACAAATCACAACATAATTATCCATCCATCACAAAACAGCAAAGCCATAAATTAAAAACTAAAAGTACCAGAATAAGCATAACAAAAGCACCGATTACTCTATGTAGTCATCATTCGACATTCTTGATATGACCTTTAACATCATAATAATAAACATCCAACACTTAAAGCATTTACACATAAACCATAACTAAAACAATTGTTCATCCCTTAAAACAAAAAGTTCTATTCGAACCATCATGATTAGACATAATTTGAATAATCACCAACACCACGTAGAACACCACCATCATCAGTAAAGACCATGGCCTATAACTCGGGTTCATCAAGTGAAAGTTGTGCAACCTCAAGCTCTACCACATCATCCAATGAATCAAATGCATCTCAAGCAATATTCCACATCTTGATTTCTCCTTGCATATATTATGAGGTTCTTCTTGATAGAAAACTGAGATTGCTATGAATGAATACCAAGTCTTTAGCACGCTTTGGTGTCATCTTGTTCCTTCTCACAGAGTGCACAAAAAAATAAGTTCTCCAATTCCTATCACAACATGATGAAGAAGAAGGTCGCAAAAGTAGCTTTAAAGCTAGACTTTGAAGCAAAGGTGCACTTGTGCCTAGGGGTGCAACTCGAGCGGGTTGAGAGGTCAAGCCTAGGTATATAATCTTCAACCTTAACCCTAACCCTACCTCAACTCGAGGTTCTCAATCTAAATACTGTCCGAGTTTAATTCGGGCTTGGGTTGAATTCGGGTTACTTAATTCGAGCTAATTTCGAGTTAAAATTCGGGTTAAGCTTTGATTATTTAATTTGGGTTGATTTTTTCAAGTGTAGATCAGATTTTTTTTAAGTGATTTGAGATGAAGGGCGAGGCGTAGATGAAGAGAGGAGGAGGAGTGACGACTGAGAGAGGAAGGCTGAGAGCCTGAGACGACTCAGACAGGTGACGATTGAGAGAGGAGGAGGAGTGACGAGTGAGAGAGGGATCTGAGAGTGATGGAGGCGCAAAGATAAAGACTTGAAGTGAAGTGACAGTTTGGACTCTAAAGAGTGAAGATAAATATTAACCCTAATTAAATATATTTATATATTTATGTATATTCGGGTTCAACTCGATTTAATAATCGGGTTCAACCTGATTTTAATATTTGAGTTCAATCCGAAGCTTGTCCAAATTCAATTGGGGTTAAAGTTTTTTTGCCCAAACCCAACCCAAATATTAAAAATTATAACCCAAGCCATGTTTTTTTTGAGTTGGCCAGCCCAAGTTGCACCCCTACTTGTATCATGAGTGACCCACCAATTTTTAGGATCCATATCATAACGACCATGAATAGAATCAATACTCCCATATTCTTCTGACTTCGTTGAGAAATTAACAAATTCCTCATTTGCTTTTGTACAATCCTCCGGAGTAGAAAAATATTTTTTCAAGCATTTCATTTTTACTCAAGAAACCTCCACATCTTTGTTGAGATGAATTCGATTAAGACCCTCATGAAACCATTGCGTGCTATAGTTGTGACGCCCCAGAATCCAGAGGTCCTTTCTCAACCCGTTGATCAACCATCAACCCGCAGAAGTACCCGCGCATGTCGTATAACCTGATAGCCATCATAAGACCATCCCAAGGTCCAATATCTATCAATTTGCCATCAATATTACTCCATTTACATCCTTTAAACAAGAGGACTCGAAGCCCGAAGGTTTGGCAAAATTATTTTAAATTTCAAAAAATTTTGAAGGAGCTGCCAGTAGCTCATGTGCTTTTGATACCAGTAGCTTCTGTGCTTTGGTACCGGTAGCTCGTGTGCTTTGATACCGGTAGTTGAGCCCTCAATCGGCAAGCTACCAGTAGCTATGAACCTAGCTACTGGTAGCTGTCCACTGCCAACGAGCTACCAGTACCTCAAGCTGCTACTGGTACCTGAGTCCACTAGAATCGTGCAACCGGAAACTAATCAACGTGCTACGGGTAGCAAGGCCCAGTTTTGCCCCAATTTAATCCTTTTTCAATTTCAACTCACTCAATCTCATATAACATTTATCCAAACTCATATAGCATCTAATTTTACACAAAATATAGTCTATATGAGTTCATTACACAATCTTTTATGTAACATTACAAGTCCAAAATCAATTACACGATTATTTTATAAAAATATAATTTAAAACCACAACTTGACTTTCTTTATCAACAAGGGCATATAAAAAGTCCCGCTTTGATTTATGAAGTATGTCAAGAAGCGACTGTTTTTGTACATGTCAGATACACGGGTAATACTACATATATGAAGTCTCGCTTTGATCCCAAAAATCCCGTCTTCAAGGTTGTGGCGAAACCCACAATCTTTGTTATGTACGTGTAACTCTCGTCGCGTAGAACAACCTTTATTCTTGGCTTGAAGAGATCCGAAGGTTAGATCTTTGTAGATCGAAGAAAGAATGCTCGAAGAATTTAGAGATTTCTCCTTTCTTTCTCTCTCAATTTTTGGAAGTGTTTGGGAGAAAAATCTGATTTTTCTCCTCTTTTATACCCCCTTCAATGTTTGGCCTACAACGCGTCACACGTCCCCCATCTTCTGATCAAATTTCATCCCAAATCAATTAAATTTTATCCCGGATTAAGTTTCATACATTTTTATTGAACTAACTTTAACTTATTTCTTGGGTTCTGCAAATAAAATCTAATCGTATTTATTTTAGTTGCGTGATACCCTATCACCTCGTAAAATGTAAAAAATTCGATTGTCTCGAAAATTTGATGATTGGGGAGCTAGATTTCGTGAAACAAATCCAACAAAAAGCTTTATTTCGTCACCCGAATTCAAGGTGTGATGCCCTTACATCCGAGGGTCTTTTATCAACCCGTTAATTATCCATTAACCTGCAAAAATATACCCGTAAGTACAATATAACCCGATACCACGTCGTTACACATCATTCCCCATGGCATAACCAAAACGAAATCCGTAAAGAATCTCTTTTGTACAAGAGCACTACCCAACACATCGCCAATTCACATATTAACCATATAACCATTCCAAGGTCCAAACCCCATAGTTAGGACTTATCATCCTCCATTAACATCCCAAAATGATTGTTCAAAAAATGAAAGCCCTTCCGTGTTATATTTTAAAATTTTAAATTCTGGGAAAAGGTACCAATACCTCTGATGCTGGGTCTTCTATTTGCCAGGTACCAGTACCAATACTAACCCCTATTTTATTATATAATGGCCTCATTTATTTCATATAACCTTAAACAAACCCTATCACAAATTTAAAAAAAAAAAACCCAACGTGTCCAAAAACTTAATCCCGCGTGTCCTAGAAGTGTCCATAGTGTGTCTAAACATGTACTGAGCGTGTCCAAAATAAAAAAAAAATAAAAAAATAGGACACTCTTTTTTACGTGTTCAGACGTGTCAGACATGGATACGTGAGCTAAAATCAAGTGTCCGTGCTTCATAGATGGTGGTCTGAGATGTGTCGATTACCGATAGAGTAGTGTGAAATCACTAGAGCATGGAAAAAAAATTCAACAGATAACACGTTTGTTCTTTTCGTATAAGAAAGAAAAAGTCCAATAAAGTTCATCCTTATCAATGTTTTGATACAAGACCAAGATGATCTCTGGTATGGGAGATATTTGGAGGAAAGCTACAAAGCCCCACCGGACTTGGCCCATAAAGAAACCACCCGATACTCAACAACTTTACATGAGGAAGCTTGAATTGTTGAGCATAATTCTACAACGATTTAACAACTACCATCATGACTCATTGTGGAAATCAACATAAACACCACATTTAAGGACATATAATGTGCTAAATACTACTACTCCATACACTCCTAAAACGGATAGAGCTACATGCAGTCACATTTACTTTATGTGCCTTATGAATGTGTTTATCCCATCCTTTGTGTAAGGCAATGCAAGCATGCCTGTAAGTCAAACACATTAAAAGATCCATGATGAAATAACCATATTTATAAGTTCCTCAACAAGAAGGCATAACACTCTCTTGTTCAACATCTTTTAAACATAAACTTGTACTCAATTTTGAAACAAGTGTCAGACAAGGGTGAACAGATCATGTCAAGAGGTATTTTCGACAGTCGAATTGTTGAATGGCCCAAGTGTATAATGACTCAACAAATCTTAACCCAGTGCTTGTTAATGTACAACTCAATAAAACTCTTAAAAAAACTATATATTCACTTGAAGTTGATGCCCCAACACGACATAGCCTATTTCTCACATGTCTTAGGCCTCAAGCGTCAACATGTGTTTCATGTGTTCAAAAGCAGAGGCTTCTGTCTGAAGATTGTGAAACAAAAAGCATTCCCAACACTCCCCCCCCCCAAAAAAAAAAATAAAAAAATAAAAAAAAACAAAACACAACATATAACTGGTACTCCATACATATGTTAAATTATCCTCAAGGTAAACATTAGTTTGATACCAACATGTTTGTTTTGCATGCAAATCGATCGAATTGTTAAGGTTAAGTTAGAAGGATACTTCGAGGACATACAAAACCACGTGAGTCTAAACAGTTAGCAAGAAGCACCCAAAGCCGAGAAAGATGAAAAACAATATAACTTGACATGCTAAGACGTACGGATACGGTCATGGACACGGACATGAAAACGGACAAGGACACGAAGAAAGGACAAAATTCTAAAATATAGGACGTGGGTACGGCAAGGATATAACTAATTAAAAATAATATTATATATTTCTATATAACTAAAAACTTTAATAATATGACCTAATAAATATTGAACAATTGATTAATATCTTATAATTAGGCAATGGGTTAATATCAAATTAGGCAGTGAGTTAATATGTTATAATTGGGGGGGCTAATACCAAATTGGATAGTAGATATTTAATGTATTTAACAACTAATAAATAGATTATATCAAAAAAAGAACAATATTTTAAAAAAATTGAAATTTAATATATGTTCAAATAGAGAGAGAGAGAGAGAGAGAGAGAGATAAGGAAAAAAGAAAGCGAGAAAAAAAATAAGTCAGGCTAAAATAGGGATAGCTGACAACATCTCAAACAAATCGCAGAGAAAAAGAGAGAAGGGGAGAAAGAAATTGAAGAGAGATAAATCGTTGACCTAAAGAAGTAGAAGAACAAGAGAAGAGAAAGAGTTCGAAGAAGACATACACAACCAATACAAGTTCAGATCTGTGACTTTCAGATCCATGGCTACCAAAGAAGTGGTCGAAGAAGAGATTGTATGGGTCAGGTACCGTATCTCTCTTATATCTTTCTCATATGCCTCCCGTATCTGATTTTTTTTTTTCATTTTCCGTTCAGGACACTTGTAAAAGTGTTAAACACGTGTCCGACCTTGCCGGAGTATCCGTGCTTCCTAGCTAACATGATATGATAGAAATTCAATCAATCTTGGGGTGAGGAAAGTCAATTCAAACAAACTACTGCCACTTGGCAAGCTTTAGTTTTCAAAAATTTGTGGTAATTGTTTGCACACAACCTAAATGTTGTACCAGACTTAGTCCTCCAATGGACCCTTATCTAAATCGAGCCCTTGGTAGGAAAGTAAACTGGCTATATACGGATGCACAACAATTTTAACATAAGCTTTTCGAGCAACTAGTGCAATGTAAACTGGTATTACATCAAGTTGGACAACTTCTTGTAGAGTGTAGCTTGTGTGTCCTTTCTTTTCATAGTTGAGTGATTGTTGCGCTGGACAACTTGTACACCTTCGCTCGATTATTGCAATACTTTATTTTATTTATTAATAAAAGTTTGTTTCCTATTGAAAAAAACTAGTGCTATGAGCACCACATAGGCCAACTAGAACCTCAATGACTTCCGCCTACAGATCAATGAATATTATCATAAATTTCAAGGGCACTTTGATTTCGGATTTAAGAATCAAAGTAATGCCAATGGCAGGACAAAAGATTCAATGAAAGCAGAATGATCCATAGTGAAGAGCAAAGCCACAAGGATAATCCTAAATTGCATACTATGCATAGAAGCCAAGAATTAATGCCCATATATGAAGGCTTAAAACTATCCAATGCCCATATATACGTGTTTGTGATAGTAAGATAGTTAACTTTTTTTTTTTTTCTGCATAAAAGAGGAATACTATTAAGAGAGAAGTAAATGGAATATAGATGGAGGACAAGATAGCCTCAAAAGAGAGAAATGAACATAATTAAATAAAGTACAAAAGCCATGAAATGGAAAACTAAAATAGACCAGCCTTCCAATCCCACTGAATATCCGACAAAGACGCCCCTCAGAAAGTTCCAATAGATATAGTCCATAAAGAAGTGAGGAACACTACTCTATCTTGGAATAAATCCAATGGAAGAGATCGATCATGAAAAATTCTAACATTCCTTTCTAACCAAATACACCAAAGAACTGTCATCGACACACAATTCCAAAGAACCTTGGCTTCTTTACCCTTTCCAAAATCCCAAAACTTAATTTGCAATAACTTCTCTACTATAGAAGGACAAACCCAAGCCTCTCCAATCACATTAAACAAGTTATTCCACAAACCCCAACAAAAAAAAATAAAATAGAGAATGAATAATGAGCATTTGACTTTCCTTTTCTCATACAATTTAAGCAAACATCATGACTTAAAGTTTTATAAGGTCTTATCACCTGTAACAAATTATTAGTATTCAACCTGTTGAGGACAATAGACCAAACAAAAACCTTAGATGTCGAATATGAAATAGAGTTAAGGTAATGACCATCCATAACTAGTTCAGTAAAATTGAAATCAATCCAAAAACCATAAATATATGCACATATCTTGAGCATAGCGAATCATAAGGAGTTCTATGGCTACAAAATATTTAGGAAATTTATTGTAATTGGCAAATTTTGTGAGGATATTTTTGTATTTAAATCTCAACTAAATTTGGTCAAGGTGCCTATGAAGATTGAAGACCCAAGCAAGATGTGGTGAAGTTGCAACATGAAGAAGAAGACTTTTTGGATCCCATCAAGCTTAGATGAGGCAAGATGAGCTAGATACCTAGTTTATCCTAAATTGGTTTAACTTAGGTTGTTAAAATTGATTTAGAGCGTGTGTATTAAATCTGTAACATGACTCTTGTGTTTTTGTGGAAAAACGTTTTTGAAACTTTGAGGGTTTGTTTTGGAAACGTGTTTAAAATGAGTCATGGAATGGAAGTTTTTAAATAACCCCCATGGTACTTCAGAAGTTGAAAAAGAGCATTTGTTTAGAAGGATAACCAGACTCTCTAGCACTCTCGGGAAGTTAACAAATAGATTGGACATGAAAAGAGCAAACCAATGCTTGGCACTCACTACATCCCTCTACTGCTCTCAGCGCTATCAGAAAGTTAGAAAATGGACTGTAAATGAAAAGAGAAAACCAGTGCTCAGTGCTCAAGCGTTGCCCTGTTCATGGCTAGCAGAATTCTATTCTAGTGGGAAGTGCTCGAGCGCAACGTCATGGTCAGGATTTTTTGCTTGTCAATTACTTTTTTCTATTCCTATGAATAGAGGATATGTTCTTTGACTGCTTAAGAATTAAGAGAGATACAAGAGAGGTCCTAGGGTTTAAGAGAGGCTATCAAGACTTGAGAAAACTCACTCTAGCTGCAATCAAACCCTAATCCCTACATGATCTACCTATAGTTCTTGAAAGAATTCATGCTAGAACATTCAAAGATCTTGTAGAACGCCAAAACCCACTAGACAAAGGATCCAAGGAGGCTACAAAAGATCAAAGAAGGATTCTATAGGAGAAGGGAGGATTCCAAAAGGGCGAATTGTAGAGTTCGATTCATTACACCTATTGAAACTAGTAATCAAGAACTAGCAATGGATTTCCAAATTGAAGATTCAACGGAAAGAGTGTTTAACCATGATATTAGTTGTTGTAAAGACTTTAAACTTGCAATTGGACTTTGAGGCTAGTGGATTAGATTGGATGAACTTTAGTCCATGACTTTTTCCAAGATGGTATCCCCGTAAAAATTACTTGTGTGTTGTGTTGTGCTTGTTTTTATATACCTGGACTTTTTACTTTCCTCCAAGTGATTGATAAATTACTTAAGTGAGTCCAACTTGTGGTGTTGGCCCTTTTAATACCTTAAATCAATTTGGTTAAATTGGTGGAAGGATTGGAGTGATAAGGTTGGTGGAATGTGTTTGATGGACATTGAATTAATTGGGAATTTTGCACGCATTCACTAATTAGTTTTTGGGTTGAAGTCATTGAGGGGTTAATTAATTAATTGTAATTGAGTGATACAAGTTTTTTTTGGGCAAAATTTCCACATAAAAGTGCATAACACCTATTCAACCCCCCCTCCCTTTCTCTCTTTCTCCTCTATGTCAACTTTGTTTGTTCCAACGTATCGAGGTCGATCTCTAATTCGCACTACTAAAATAGGCTCACCAAAAGTCAAGTTGAGACTTTTGAACATACCTCCACATGCCCAGCATGAAAAAGATCAAATGCTCCATCAATGTACACCACACTAGCATTTGGTCCTGGCCCCTGAAAGTTACATAAAACAAAATAATTGTCTTTGTATTCGAAGAGCAAAGAAAAAGAAGAAATACATCCTCCTCTACTCCATCTATTATCCGCTTATGTTATAAATGCAGAGAACATCACCTAAAATGGGAAGATGGCAAAACTAGATCATCAAACCATCAAGCTCATGAATGTACTAAATTAGATTGAACAAAATAAAGTGTTACACGTATCTTGATAAAAGTATATAGCAGCACTATCGAGAAATGAGAGTTCATGGATATAAAGGCAGGATTATAGCCATCTAAGTTTTCACTATTTCAAATTTTTGCTCCCAATTCACGAGGACTTTATTCCATGCATTATGCTTAGCCTTTGCCACTACCACCATAATTGCTATGATCACTATCTCCAAGAATATAAGTGAAGGTTTACTCATGTTCCTATACTATCAAATAAACACTAACAAATTTTTGTCGGAAAAAAAGAAAAAAACAAAACACAGGACTTTAAGCTATGTATGACCACCACATCACGGAGAAAGTTAGCAGAAATATCATCATCATATTATGTAGAATGCTACTGGATTTTAGGGAATGATTCCTGAGACTCTAATTGTACTTAGGAACTAGAACTATATGCAAAGAATTGCTTAGATACAAATTTGACAAAATAAGGTAGACCATCGTTTAAACCAAAAACCCATAGAATTTTGACAAAATATCCTCTGTGTTCACCCATTTGGATTAGTATGAAGGCCATTCTAGAATTTGGAATATACCCTTCGTACGAATATATCAATGATCACCATTTGCATGATTTGAGGACAATGTCTCGTATATATCTTTGAATATTGTGCCATCACTCAAGTAGACACCCTTGGCAGCCTGGTAATAAGTTTTATAAATCATTTAATCACCAACTTCAAAGGCATTTGTTGCTGAAAATATCAATGAACTTTGCTATAAATGTCCATAAATTTTCTTGAATTCCATATTGTTTTAGCACAACCACATCACACTAAAAAAGACATATCTCTAGCCTCTCCATTCAGCACTATATTACACATTAAACTTTTCAAGAAAACAAGTATTATCATCAGCCTGTTCTTAGAACTGCATGCAGCAGAAATCTAAGTTTCTCGTTCATAAATGAAATGAGGATGCATATCTCCATTTGTTTGCTGGACACAACAAAGATTTACCACCTGACTTCCATTATAAAATCCCTTCAATAAATAGAAACCAATCAATCTGTTGACAAGACCTAAGTTTTTAAGTTATACAGAGATTCTACACAAATATATAAGCTACAATCCTTTTTTAAAATTTTATTTATGAACAGATTGTTAGCATATGAAAAACAAATTGCATTTGCACTTGGAGCCTAGGGTTTAATGAGAACCTCATATCACTGATAAAATCTAAATTTCTCATTCATAAATGAAATGAGGATACATATCTCCATTTGTTTGCTGGACACAACAAAGATTTACCACTTGAGTACCAATATAAAATCCCTTCATAAAAATTTGACAAATCAATCGTTTTACAAATCCTAAGTTTTTTAAGTTATACAGAGACTCTACACAAATATATAAGTTACAATCCTGTTTTAAAATGTTATTTATGAACAGATGGTTAGCATATAAAAAACATATTGCATTCGCACTTGGAGCCTAAGCTTTAATGAGAACCTTATATCACTAACAAGCTAAGCCTCAAGATCACATCCATTTCTTGAACTTCAAAATGTTAATCCTTGCATATCCGTTAAAATTTTTCTAGTTTTATGTATTAGACTATCATTAATTTGACTTAATTGATTTTTCACGTCAAATCAATAAAACTTTTATGCCTAATTCAGAGAAACAATTTAATAAACTGGGTGCAAAGTAATCATACTTGACTAAAAAGGTAGCACGCTACACCAGATTCTCACTACTACAAGGTCTGGCGAGGGTCGAATGTACACCAAGGATCAAAATATCGTATTGTTTCGGTCACCTAGGAAACAAAAATATTTCGACATGTTTCGAAAACGTTTCAACCGGTTCGGAAATATAATGAAAAAAATAAAAAATTTAAGAATTATTTTTCTAAAACATTGATAGAAATATATCAAAATATCTTTAAATACCTTAAAACATTCCAAAACAATTGTGCAAATACATTGAAATATTATAATACATTTAAAAATATTATGGAATACTTAAAAATATCAAAATTTCAATTTTATCACTGTTTTGTTTCGATTTCCTTTGAAATGGAAACATTTCGGACGTTTCGACCATTTTGAAACCATATTTTGATTCTTGATGTACACAACTTTACTCCTTGTGAGGAGATGCTATTTCCTGACTTGAACCCATAATGCTCATATCACAATAAAACAATCTTAATGTTGTGCCGAGCCCGTGTATAACGATATTTGAGGCATACATTTAGATTTACCTTGGCATTTGAGAACTGCACAATTCGTCTAGAAGTAGGTAGAAAATGAGATATATGGCCACTCTTGGTCTGACTTCTCTCATCCTGAATTCTGCTCATGTCCTCAGAGACTTTTGCATCTTTTACAAAAGTAAGCATCCTCCCTAACACAAAGATAACATACACAATAAATGACAAGAAAACATGAGTACATTTTTCAGAAGTGGTGCTAAAAGAAGTGATATCTGCAACATTTTTTGTCATTTTGTTGGAAGCATGTGATGCATAAGATAGTGAGCTATATAGCAATTAACATAGAAGCTCAACTTTTGTAATCTTGAGCTTATACCTAAAAGGCTTGTTTGGATAATGGGTTAAAGGGGTAAACACAATAAGGATTGGATAAAATACCAATGGGTCCCATATATCCCATGTTTGGGGGAAGCCTAAACTGAGGCTGGGTATCCGACTCGGGTTTATCCTTAACTCAGTAGCTATAGTGTTTTTTATCCTTGTTAGAATTAGAGAGAAGCTTAATACAATACAAGAAAGGCAAAGAGAGGTTTTGACTTAACCTACCTCTCATTATTAATCTTGTATTTATAATTACTAAACAACTAACAAAAGACAAGTATACTTTTTGTGTGGTATACATATTACAATAAACATAAACCCTAATTAATGTAACCCTAAATATATTATAGTAGCTTTGTCAATACTCCACCTTAAGCTAGACTATAGACATCATATAATTCAAGCTTAGAATAAATATCCGCAAGGCGGGTACGACTCAATGCTTTGGTGAACATGTTCACAATTTGATCCTCAAATCTCAAAAACGGAGTTGAAATGTCTCCACTTAGTATCTTATCTTGAATAAAATGACAGTCAACTTCAATATATTTGGTCCTCTCATGAAACACTAGATTGTCAACAATATGAATGGCTGTCTGATTATCACAGAATAGTTGTAAAGGTAGCTAGACTGGGAAACCAATTTTTCGCATAAAGTGTAATAACCTTGTCAACTCACTAGTTGTATGTGTCATTGCTCTATACACAGCCTCAACACTGGATCGTGCAACTACTGTTTGTTTGTTACTTTTCCATGAAACATTACCTCCCAAGAAGGTGCAATAACCAGTAATTGATTGCCAATCAGAGGGAGAACCAACTCAATTAGCATCCGAAAAACCTTCCATTCAAAGATATCCATTAGCTCGATATAACAATCCAAAATCATGAAATAATAATGCACGGGTAACTTCCAATAGATGTCGATTCTTATGCTTAGTAACACCATTCTATTGAGAGACGTAAGCACAAGAGGTTTAATGAATAAAAATGCCTTACAAAAAGAAGAGGATAAGGGATCAGACTCATATTCTCTAGCATTATCAGAACGGAGAATACGAATGTGACAACCATATTGTGTTTTTACTTCTTGACGACAGGTCTCAAATATGGAGACATAATTCAGAACGGGCTTTCATAAGAAATAACCAAGTCACACGAGAATAATCATCCACAAATAACATAAAAAAAGAATATTTATTAGATGAAATATTCTTTATGGCGCCCTATTGATCTAAATGAACTAAAGCAAATGGACTTGATACACGATTATTAACTCTTAACTGAAAGGAAACACAGTGATACTTACTAAGTTGACAAGTCTCACAAAACACAGACGACACATAACTAAGATTAGGGACTTAGCACTTCAGATTCTGGAGCGAAGGATGACCAAGCCGACAGTGCCACTGAAAGGGAGATGATGAAGTCTAAAATGCCCGAGGGGATATATCAAAGTCAAGATAATAAAGACTATCAGCTTCATATCCCGTACCAATCTTCCTTTTCGTTTGGAGATCCTGAAACACACAATAGGAAAAGAAAAAGGTTACCGAACAATTAAGAGAGTGAGTAATCTTACTAATGGAAAGTAAACTAAAGGAAATCTGGAGAACAAATAATACTGATGATAAGGACATATCAGTACTCAATTGAGTAGTCCTCACACCTGAAGCTTTAGAGGAATTGTCATTAGCAAGAGTAACACTATATGAGGAATTAATAGACTGATAAGTAGAATAGACACCAGACGAATTGGTCATATAGTCAGAGCCACCGAAATCTATGATCCAAAGACTGCAAGTTGAGGACAATAAACAAGTAAAAACAATACCTGACTGGACAAACATGGCACTAGAGGAGGATGAAGCAACCTGTTGTTGGGACAAAAGCTGAGCATACTCTTCGAGGGTAAGTGTAACAGTCCCAAAGTCAGGTGGAGCTAAATGTGATTAAGAGTAAGTATCATCCAGATAAGAGGCCTGATTAGCAACGCCCGAAGAGTTGCCATGTAAATCCCAACAATAATCAGTTGTGTCTCCTCCACGACTGCAATGAGTGCACACACGTGAACCAGACCGACCACTAGTACAGCCTCCAACACGGCCTCCACGTCCTCCATGACCACCACAGTTACCATGACCACCTCGTGAACTATCATTATGGCGAGGAGAAACAAGTGCTGAGCAATCATGAGATAAACTGAAGTCAACACCAGAAGTTCCAGTTGACAATGTAACACACTGTAAACGAGAGAAAACTTCAAGTAAAGATGGGAGACTGAAACTACCCAAAATCTGAGAACGAACCGCCTCATATTCAAGTTTCAAACCCATCAAGAAACGAACAACATTCATATCTTCATGTTATTTCTACCAAACTGCAGCATCAGTGGTAAATGGGTGGTAGAGTTTCAGTTCTTTATAAACTCTAGTGATATGGGAATAATAATCTGCAAAGCTTAGATTACCTTGGTTTAAACGAAAGTACTGTTGACAAACCTCATATGTACGAGTAAAATTACCGGTGGCTGAATACGTAACGGCCAAGTGGTCCCAAATTTCTTTAGTTGTGTCAAGATAAAGTAAAGTGGAGCTAATACTAGCCTCAATACTATTCAATAATAAAGAGATAAGGTGAGCATGTGCCTGTTCCCACTGATCATACCCAGACGTACCTTCCTTCGGTTTAGGGTCCACTAAATACTCTTTTGAGACCTTTACCTTTCAGAAATACTTAGACTGAGCGTGGCCATAAAACATAATTTGTCTTAATAAGCTTAATTGATGTCATAGGACCATTAAATAGAACAATAGAAGACAAACCAGGTGGCACAGGAGAAGTAACAATGGATATGTCATCATTCTTGGATCCATAGCAATAGGGAGGCTGAACAATGCACAAAAGAAGTTGAATCAGGTGAAACAATACTGGACAGTGATGATCTGGAGCTGAATGGAATAATAGCAGTTTGCTGGATTACTGAACCGACAAAGAAAGGTTCGCTGGATCGCTAAATGGAACAAAATCGGTTCGCTGGACCGCTGAACCGAACAGGAGAGGGTCGCTGGTCCGTTGAACCAAACAAGAAAGGTTCACTGGACCATTGAACCGAGAGAAAATCTTTGCCGGACCACTAAACCGGACAGGCAAGGTTCACTGGACCACTGAACCAGAGGGAAAACTAATAGAATCGATCTTAATCAGTGCAAGGCTAATTGAACCGAACCTGAACCGGTATTGGACCGGATCTAAACTGAACTTAGACCGGTCTGGATCTGGCTGTGGTTTTGGATCTAGTTCTGGATCTAGATCTGGATTGGGCTTGAAACTAGTTTAAAACCCGTGGACTTGGACCCAACCCGTGTGGGTCGTCTTCTTCACAAACTAGGGTTTCAAGCAAACCCTATTGCTTGTCTTCAATGTCGACACCGCTGCACCAGCCGACGTTACCAAGGAATTCCAACGGCCACACTACCACAGAAGCTACACCAGTCAACGACAACTCACACCCAAACAGCGGCTACATTACCACAGCAACGAGGAACGTCGATAACAACACCACCTCACCACCATAACACCAATACCAAGATCAACTCAACAAAGAACCACCAAAACCAGAATCGACATACACTCTGAAGCTGCACCTTGGGAAATGCACAAATTCAATGCAAACTCATTCAACATCGGTGGAGATGCAAACCAAAGTTAGTGAAGACGCAAACCAGAGAAAAGGGAAAAGAAAAGAGAAAAGGAAAACAAAAAGGAAAAGGAAAAAGAAAAAAAAAAGATTAATAGGAACTTTTCTCTGATACCATGTTAGAATTACAGAGAAACTTAATACAATACGAGAAAGGTAAATAGAGGTTTTGGCTTAACCTACCTCTCGCTATTAATCTTGTATTTATAGTTACTGAACTAAACAAAAGACGAGTTTTCTTTGTTCTATTTTATTAATTTTGGAAGTGCTAATAAATACTGATTTTGTTGTGCTTACATTATTTTTCATTGAATATTTGCTTAAAGGTGGTAAGATGTTTATGTTAAAGGCAATAATAATGTTATGTTACCGGTGGTAATATGTTACTAAGTTGTTTATGTTGGGTTTTTCTTTGCTAGAAAATTGTATGCCATACTATTTCACATTATGCTTTCTTTAAATTGCTACTACATTGCATTTTTTGACTTTATTCTTGTACCTGAAATGGAAGGTTGTTGCAATGAAAAAATGTCCAATCGTATTGATGATGTCGCTGGGTTGTTTGTTGTGTTAGATAGGATAAGGCGAGAGATGATAATTATTTTCCATATAATTGTGGTCCTAATAGTAGTGTTGTTGGAAATAGACCGACAATCAAAACCACAACCATCAAGGTTACTCTCTAGAAATCAATTACAAGTTGAACTCTTGCACCATCTAATTAGTGAGAGTGCATCAACTGCATCAACCAACTTAGGATGGATAGACACACTTTTTGTGTTCTTTGCAATTTAGTTCAAGATGTTGGGGGGTTTAAATCAAACAAGATATGTATGTGTTGAAGAAATGGCTGCAATGTTCTTAAACATATTGAGACATGATGAGAAGAATAGGCCAATGAAGTTTAATTTTCTTGGATTTGGAGAAACGGTTAGTAGGCATTTCAACGTCGTGCTAAAGGTTGTTATTAAATTGCATCATCTATTGTTGAAGACACCTGAACCATTTGCTACCGAAAGCGAAATGATTTAAGGTAATATTTATATACACTTGTGCTTTACTGAAGATCATGATTAGACTGCTTTTAGAAAAGTACACTACTAAT